GTGCGCGGAAGGGCAAGGCGAGCCCTCCAGACACCCCGACTCCCCAACCCGACCCCTCCTCTCCCTCCCCCGGCAGCCGCAGCCTCACCATCCATGACTTTGACATCGGGCGCCCCCTGGGCAAGGGGAAGTTCGGGAACGTGTACCTGGCCCGGCTCCGGGACAGCCATTTCCTCGTGGCCCTCAAGGTCCTGTTCAAGTCGCAGCTGGAGAAGGAGGGGATGGAGCACCAGCTGCGCAGGGAGATCGAGATCCAGTCGCACCTGCAGTAAGGCTGGTCTCCCCGTAGAGGGCTCCACGCTGGGCCTCTGTTTGCTTGTGGGGTTTTTGGTGGCGGTTGTTTTTTCTTTTCATTTGAGAGAGAAAAGAACGTCAGTTTGGCCCTGGCCGGTTTGGCTCAGCGGGTAGAGCGTCGGCCTGCGGACTAAAGGGTCCCAGATTCGATTCCGGTCAAGGGCACATGCCTGAGTGGGCTGCAGGCTTGATCCCCAGTGTGGGGCCTGCATAAGACAGCCGATCAATGACACTCTCTCATCATTGATGTTTCTCTCTCTCTTCCTCTCCCTTCCTCTCTGAAAGCAATAAAAATATATTTAAAAATACATAAATAAATAAAAAGTATCACAAATGTCACATGCAAAAAAAAACACAAACAAATAAAAAAAAAAAAAGAACATCTGTTTGTTGTTCCACCTATTTCTGCATTCATGGGTGACCCTTGTACGTTCCCCGGCCGGGGCTCGAACCCAGAATGGCATCCATGGGAGGATGCGCTAACCAGCTGAGCTCCCCGGCCAGGGCCCACACGGGTGCCTGACCCTTCTTGTTCTTTTTTTTTAAAATATATTTTATTGATTTTAGACAGGAAGGGAGAGAGAGATAGAAGCATCCATTAGGAGAGGGAATCATGGATCGGCTGCCCTCTGCATGCCCTTCACTGGGGATGGAACCCACAACCCAGGCATGTGCCCTCGGCAGGAATCGAACCCGGGACCCTTCAGTCCGCAATCTGATGCTCTATCCATTGAGCCAAACCAGCTAGGGCACCTTCTGTGTCCTCTTTTATCTTTGACACACGAACCCAGCATCTCCCTCCAAACAACCCCCAATGAAGCGAGGCCCTTGCTTTCAGCTGAAGGTCTTTTCCTCTCTGCAATTTATCACAATTACACTCTGCGCAGCCCCCTGTGTCACACGCCAAATGCCCGTTCCTTGTTCTCCCTTCGTGCAGTCCCAGCTCAGGCTGTTATACTGGTGCCAGGACAATCTGCTTTTTTTTTTTTTTTACATTTAAGGAACCATATTCTTTTTTTCTTTAAATATATATATTTTTTCATTGATTTCAGAGAGGAAGGGAGAGAGATAGAAACATCACTGATGAGAGAGTATCATGGATCGGCTGCTTCCTGCACACCCCCCACATGGGATGGAGCCTGCAACCCGGGCGTGTGCCCTGACTGGGAATTGAACCGTGACCCTCTGGTTCATAAATCAACGCTCAGCCACTGAGCCCCGCCGGCCGGGCCACAACCTG